AGCAACTTCTCGCACCCTTAGCTCCCCGACGAGACTTCCTTGTTGTTTGCATAACTCATAAATTGCGACGGAGCATAGGCACACGGCAGGATGCATCACGATGCAAAAATGCCGCGTAATCTACTGCCGCTTGTGGGCGTGAGTATCGGAGCAAGAGTCAGAGCCATACTCGGAAGCGCATAAATCTTTCGGCACGACTTCCGGCTTTCCCGTCCTCGAGGGCTCATCGAAAGGAAGAAACGATAATTAACTCTCGGTTCTCTCATGAAAATTAAATTCTATTTCTTCGAGCAGGTTTGCTCGATTTTCAACGTGCCGACGACGTGGTCGAAAAAATGTAATGTAATTTTATTTGAAAATTATACATTTTTAGCACGCGGTAATTTCACGCAACTTTAAGTTAAAGTCGCACGCGATAAACAAAATAAAAAAATATAGTACAACAAAATAAAACAGAAGCACATGATAAACCGAGATAAATTTCAAATGATAAAATAATGAATAGCATTGCTCAACAGGATTGGATCTTAGGTATCCTAATTTTTCATTTTTCTTAATATAAATTCAATTATAGGATACCAATCCTGTCGAGGACCGTCTATTATCTTATCGTTTAAAACAGAAGCGATATTTTTGTGCAAAAAGTGAAATATCATGAGTTATTTATTGGAACGTACGTAATACTACAACTTTTGACATTTCACGTAGACTCATTAATTTTACGAAGCATATGTATATTCGCGCTTCGATATTACAATTTGACGCGTACCGTCATCTAATTGCTGTCCCCCTCAATCATTATCCTCATTACACAGACGGACGAGATAAAGCACAGGCTCTTTTCGCGTTTGCGCGCGAGACAAACGATGTTGCCTCGTTTAGAGTTAAAATAATGGCAAAGTCGTTTGAGTTTGATCTTACAGCCAATACGCTCGCGCGCGCGCGCGCGCGCTCGACCCGGTGACGCCACGTGCACACGCGTGCATCTGCGTGCGTGCGTGCGTGCGTGCGTGCGTATGCGCGACGCACAAACGTATCGCATTACGCCCGCGGAGCAACGCCCATTATCAGTTTCGGATGGCAGAGAGCGTGCACGCGAAATCGGCATGCACCAGCGCAATACGACAAACGCCGCGCGTGATTGACATCCGTACGACACGTCGCGCCGCACCGCATTGCGTCGGCATAGTTTACGAAAATCGATCGCATCACCGGTTTACGTAGAAACCAAAAAAACAAACGACGGTCGCGTGCATCGACGCGATCAGAGAATCATGCGGACCGATTTTCCGCACTTCCGTAGTAGCCGCACTTTCACCTTTCGAGGCAAATCGTCGATCGCTTTCGCGGTCTTTTTTTTTTTTTTGACTTTTTTCCCCCGAAAGCTTCGAAGGAAGCTTGCGAATTGTAAATGATTTAAATTCGTGGTATTTTTTTTTTTTTTTTTTTTTCATTGTAAAGATGAAGGAAGAAAAGGAATCTATATGTTGTATAATGAGAAAAGCATACAAATTATGCATTTAATGCTATTTAATGATAAAAATGTAAAAAGCGCAATACAACAAGATTGGCTCTTTGGAATTTGTTTGCGTGCCAAACTATTCAACTTTTTTCAAAATTTGAAAATTTTCTATATCTTTAGTTTTAAATTCTGTTTCTATATTTATAGTCGTCGGGCGTATCAGGCGATCTTTTTCGATTCAGGCGATACCATCAACGATCTCAATCGTTTATCGTTTCGCCAATGATTTATCGCGTTTGGTAAATAGCGCGTTCGCGAAGTTCGCAACCAGCTGAGAGTCCTCGGGGAATCCGATGAAGGAGAGAGAAGGAGGGGAATGAGGGACACACGCTTCGTGTCGATCGTATCGGGAGTCCGAATCTCGGAATTCGAATTTGTCGTCTTATCTGCGGATTCCATCGTAATTGCTTATCTACGAGGTGCCTGCACGCACCGGGACGGCCACCATATCCACCAACTTTATGTCTACGCCCTACGAAACACGCGCGTGGTGCATCCTCACGTGTTCACCCGTCACCCGACTTCTTCACTTATCGTCGCACGGCAGGCACGTCGCATACACCTTGGTCCTACGTGCCCTTTTTCGACTCGTCGGCGAATTCCGGTGGCGCCTTCTCTCGCGGCTCGCTACAGAAATTGATATCTTCCAACGTAGCGTACAACACGAAACTCGTAGAATTTAATTTAATCCAACGGAGCGATCGATTCTAAACACACGGTGTTATCCAATAACTTTATTTAACTTAAAAATAACTGAAATGTACACTCTTAATTTTGTATCGCCAAAAATTGGAAGTATAAATACGTTGAAATGAAAATCTTACATAGTTACATGGGACATAAACAATGGAATATAAATATAAAAGAGGAAAGTGTTAATCTCGAAATTTTTAGGAGTTCTCCATTGTGGAGTAGATACAAATTGTATTAAAATTATAATAATCCA